TCGTGGATTTTTAAAATATATTTTTCTGAGATTATTTGAGGTATAATATAACTATCAGAGCTATAATCGTGGATTTTATAAATACATATTATTTCCTTTGATAATTCGTCATCGCGACCCATTCGAATGTATTTCAAAACGTGGGTAATCACTGCCATTACTATGTGGATGGCTAACTCAATGGCTGAATAAGTGCTTACTCACCAAATGAAGGAAAACCTAAATACTTCGCAGGGATGCCGAACATGAAAATAAAAGTATGGGCGATAATATATATTAATCTCCTTATCGTTTACTTTATCTTCATCTTCATAAATTAGAAACTTGAGAATTCATTGTATTTATTTGTTCATCTATCTTGGGATTTTGATTTCTACCAACATTCAAATCTCGCCATCTCTATTTAGAACACTTGACAAATGACTGGTTCGTCCCACCATTTTGTTATCGGGGTGTATTTGAATTGTAGGGTGTAGCATTGTGATGGCTGGCATGTGATAAATGCATTTCTGCAAGGCGAGCATCATGCATATGTATGTAAATATACATATTTGCACACTGGCGCACTGACAGCCAAATGCATATTAAAAATTTAAGAGTATTTAAGTAGTGGTTAGGTGTTGGTTTATAATATCGCTGGCACACAAATCACAAAAAAAAAAAACACAAAATGCCAACCAATCACAACTTGTCACTTGTTTTCGAACGAGGAGTTAGTCATGTGCGTAAATGGGCGAAATGCCTAATACACCAAGAAAAATTAATTTAAAACAAGTAAGCAAAGGCTACAGTCGAGCGGGGCCGACCGTTGAATACCCTACAACAATATAATAAACGATACAGTTTATATAGGCGAGATACTCGAAAGAATTCCACAAGATATTGTGACAAATAATAAAAGAAAACCATCAGGTTCCGTTCTCTAATTTTCGAATAATAGCAACTTAAACTAATTTGCTTATTTCCAATTTATTGGTAGATGTTGCACGTAAATGGTCTTCCTAGATCTGGAACCAATATTTTCCAAAGACCTATAATCTCTCAGAAGTGACAAAAGATTAACATTTATTATTGGTTTTTGACTGAAACGCATCTAAATGAGATACAGACATTTGACTATATTCTTCAACGAAATCAGCGTTAACGAAATAGTCAGAAGTGTGTCTTTCCTGTATTTGTGAATTCTCCAAAAAGTCACTGGAATGGACATTTTCGTATTTTGTCTACAAAAGTTGGCAAACTATTTCACACATTGAATATTTTTGGATGGCCATCCAAAACTGCTTGGCTTTTGCAATGCCCAGTAACCCCCATTCAAATGTGGTGAGGATCGGGCAATATTTACGACCTGCTGACAATTTTGCAGTTTTTTGGTCCATTTCATCTCCAAAAAGAGTAGGCTTCTATTCTGACCCTCATCTTATCTCCATGCTAAATTTCGTAAGGATCGGGCCATAAATGCGATCTGTATATGATATCCTGATATCCTAACTACGAAGTTTTGTTAGCTGTAGAAATATTACCAAATGTTTAATTCAAAATGAAAATATGCCAAAAATATGACACAATTGAAAAATTATGAGAAAATTTTAAAAAATCAATATTTTCATCTTTAGAGAGATATCTTTATGCGATTTTTATAGACGTTTTTTCTTTCCTGCCAAGAGGCCATTCTGAATTAATGAGAACTGTCGAAATCAGTTCAGCCGTTCTCGACATATGAGAGATTTTTCAAGCATATAAACATATATATCGCAAATATTTTGATATATATCCGTTTTGTTGGATGTTAACATCAATATAAAGATCAGAAGTAACCTTGTGATGGCTTTGTGATTTCGCCGGGATTTAAAATATTCGCGGTTTAATGAAAAATTTTGAATTTTTTCAACACAAAAGATATGGTCTATTTTACCCGCTAAATATTATCCGATGACCACCCAAATTGGTAGGCTTCTTCCCCCCCCGCTACATGCGAAATTCCGCGTCGATTGGTCTATAATTGCGACCTGTATAGCTACTGCAAAATCCGACATTTTTTCAGTATTTGGTCCATTTCAACCCCTAAACATTTGGCGATCATCTCCAAAAGAAATAGGGTTCTATTCTGGCCCAACCCCGACCTCCATTCCAAATTTCGTGAAGATCGGGCCATAATTGCGACCTGTAGAGTGATTACAAATTAACATGGACAGACGGACAGACGGACGGACGGACATACATAGCTAGATCGACTCAGCTCGGCGAGCTAGGATGATCCATATATACTTTCCTATGTGGGAAACCAATATTTCGTGGTGTTACATAATTTTTGGCCCAATCAAACTTATAATACCCCCAACACATAGTGTTGTAGGGTATAAAAATTGCAAAAAATGGAATTATTTTTTCATTATTCTTTGGATTCTTTGATCATATTATAAATGGTGATTTTTAGTCTGTCTTTTTGAAAAAACTGGATAAAATTGCTCAAATAATCTTCAAACCTTAAATTATATGGACTGTACTATCGGTTCAAACAAAAATTCCAAGCATTTTTCTTTTTTTTTTTTGTGAAATACGTTCTTCTTAACTCCTTTTAGTTTTTATTGGTCTTATACGATTTTAGCTCTGATAAACCTTCAAAAAAAAGTTCATTAAAAATTTACGATTTCATTTTCTTCTAGAATAAGCCCTTTAAAATCCAAGGTCATACCTCTTATAATCTTCTAACAAATTATTTGACAAAAGAAAATATCTACAAAAAACACCAAAAAAAAAAGTCTTTAAAAAAACAAGCAACAAAGTTCGGCCTATCCAAACTTTTAATAACCTCTTCTTAAATACAAAAATTGAAACAATGTGACTAGGATTATTAAAATACCGAGTATCGGTAGGTATCGTTATATGTGCTCAATAGGAAAACGTGGACCTAAATTTTCAATGTTCTGCCGCCGGAGCAAGAACTCGATATGAACTACAAATACCAAAATCCTTAAAAAAAATCAAAATACCGAATATCAGGAGGTACCGTTATATGGCGGCTATTCCAAAACGTGGACCGATAAATTTCATTTTCAATATCAACCATCCTAGACACAATACAAATTGTTGTACTAAGCTCTACGTCAAATAATGTGGGAATCGACTTAGAATTTAATGCTGATCATGACCACTTCCTTGACGACGGTCTACGCTACCACTATCAGGGTAACATTTAAATTCTGGAGTGCTTTAACGATAGGTTTTCCAGCCAAATATAAAGAAATCACGCTATCACGCTTGAATTCCATCACAAATAACTTTTTTTTCTTGGAAATTCTCACCAAACTGCTTTTGTACGCTTGTAAGCAATATAGTGAGCTGTTATTGGAATAATTTTAACAGCTGTCGGACGAGGGGCTTAGTAATGACAGCAGTCTGAAATTGGTATCAGTTTTTTCATCGCACCCTGTATGTTCTTTATGGGGTCTACGACGAATATTTAGGGATGTTAAACTTAATATACCCTCCTTTTCAAGGTGGAGGGTATAATCAGATAGATATCCGACAGTTTTTCTTATATTTTTTTTATTACTTTTTTTTAATTCCTGACTGTAGTTCCAAAAAAAGCAGATTGCAACTCTGGCTGTTACCTTGAAAAGTTTAAAATTCAGACTTAAGATTTCAGCTCTTTTCAACTCTTTAGCACTTTTGAGTCTATTTTCTTTCTGTTGCGGTGTAATTTCTTTTTTGGATTTCAATTTGGAATTTCAATGGCTTTATCCCGAGCTCATTTTTTCAATATTTGCCGAATGGAATATTGTGATATGTTCAGCTCAGAAGCCATTTTTCGGTCACTGCGACGCGGGTTTCGATTAAGTCGCTTTTTTACTTTTCGAACTATTTCTGCTGATGTTGCAGTTTTCTTCCGTCTACTTCCTTGACGTCGGGCTACGCTACCAGTGTCACGGTAACGAGCGATGAGACACATAAGTTTTATTCACATTTAAATTCTGGAGTGCTCTAACGATAGCCACTTGTGATTTCCCAGCCAAATATAAAGAAATCACACCATCACGCTTGAATTCCATCACGAATAACTTCCTCCTCTATGTTACAAACAATTGCACAAAGACATAGTACCCTGACCGCAGTATGGTGTAGGGTATAAATATCACAAAATAATAAGAAAAAATATTCACATTTTTATTAGCACCTTTTTTCTAGATTTTATTCTTTTATGCCAACAGGCCATTCTGAATTGGTACGAATTTTCAAAATCCGACCAGCCGTTCTTAAATTACAAGCGGTCTAACTATCATCCACTTCGTTGATATATGTGATTGTATATATTTTTGGGTATATATGACATATCTTGGATATCAGATCAGTGTAACGGTCAGAAATGACCTTTTCGTGTATTTGTGATTTCGGGATTAGAAATATTCTTTGATTAACGGGAATTTTCCTATTTTTTCACAATAATTGTGGTCTATTTTACCCGCTAAATATTATCGGATGACCATCCAAATTGGTAGCCCAAAACTCTAGCTCCATGTTAAATTTCGTGTCGATTGGTCTATAATTGCGACCACTGAACCCCTAAATATTTTGCAATCACCTTCCAGCAATAGGCTTCTATACTGACCATAGCCACACCTCCGTGCAAAATTTTGTGAGGATTGAATCATAATTGCGACCTGTAGCGTGATTACAAATTAGCATGTTCAGATGGACGGACGAACGGACGAACATACGTACCTAGATCGACTCAGCTTGGCGAGGTAGAAAGATCCATATATACATTCTTATGTGCAGAACCAATATTTCGAGGTGTTACATAATTTTGTAGGGTAAAGAAATGTACTAGTGTTTAAAGAAATACTCCTTAAAAGTCCTTGCAGAATATATTCTTTAAAATCTTCCTGACAGTCCGTCGGAAATATTCTATTAAAAATTAACGATTATATGTTTAATATGTCGTTCTATGACAATCCTTGACACCTCTGAAATAATTCATTTCTCCTTCTTATTTCCAGATAACATTGAACGCCCCAAGTAGACGTAGACTAATTTTTGTAAAAATTCCCTGCCGTCATTTTTATGAATTATGACAGCTGAAGTTATGGCAGCAAATGATACACACTGGGATCCGGGTAAGTGACAGCATCAAATACCCCTAACATATATACAACACCTTTACATCCTCTTTTCCAATTACAGCTCTTTCCAAGCTGATAGCATCGCTTAAAGAAGCTGAAAGTCTTTCCAATGATCAAGAAATTGATTTTCTGCAGACGCTGCTGGAGTCCAAAGAATTGAATGCTTTGGTCAACGTCCACAGTAAAGTGGCCAAGGTGGGGAAGGATGATCGTCTGGCACCCATTCTATCAACATCAGGGATGGTAGGAATTTGAAAAAAATATCGCCCCTTTTTCTTTAAATTAATGAGAAATTTGTTTTTCTCTCTCTCGCCCCTTACTTTGAGTAGATAATGTGTGAAGTGCTGGAACAATTATCACAGCAATGTCACCTGAACGAGGATTGCCGCGAGGCATTTCATCTACTACAGAAACCGCATTTACAAGTGAGTGTTTTGGCTTTCCACAAGATTTTTCGTTTTAATTAATGTGCCCTTCGATTTTCGTTTTCCATTTATTTTATGTTTTTGTTTTTCTTCCATACCTTCTAGAGTCTTCTTTATGCCCACGATGCCATTGCTCAAAAGGACTTCTATCCACATCTTCCCGATTTACCCATAGAAATGGATGAAGATGAGGAGACCATTAAAATTGTTCAATTGGTTAAAAGTAATGAACCCTTGGTAAGTCCTGCATGAATAGAACTTGCGAAAAAAAAACTTTGGGAAAATAATAGGATATGGTTGGGTGGAAAGGTATTCAGAGTTATTCTCTGTCACCCAAATATGGGGTCATATATACAAAACGTATTGTATTTCATATTTATATTCATAAAGTTTTTGTTTTTGTTCATTAAGGTAAATGTCATTGACATGACGGGCACAGTGTTTCAAATGTATCGGAAAAATATTTTTTTTTAATTTTTTTAATATTAACAGAAATCTTGAAAATACATAAAGACTAGGGAGAGCTAGTTTGGATCATAATTCTGAGCGAATTTCACTTCCTACTCGAATTCGAGCAGGAGTACCAGGAGTGTAAAGGAATCAAGAGTAGCCTACGTTTCAATGCCACTAGAATAAGAGCGTGTAGGCATTTACGATTTCCAATGAGAGTAAAATCTGCTAGTAATCGAGCACATTCTACGAACCAACACCAAACGCGATTAAGAGCACCGAAGCCAATATATTTCGAACCTTTTTACTCCCGCTCTTATTTTTCGACGGGGCGTAGTTCACTAACGTTCCCACATGAAACAACAGGGTGTAGAGTTATTTTCACGTAAAACTCCTTCTCTTCAAGCATTCTCTCTCCGTATGTTTCGCTCGCGAGTAAAAAGGAAAAAATCTGAGCTCTGGGTAAAACTAATTTATGTATATAAAAGAGTAGAGTAATGAGCGAATGGCTAATTCATCAACTCCCAGGCGAAATTGCTAAAGCTAAAATGTTGGCGTGTAGTAGTAATTTAAGGCTGGGCTCTTGGAAATGCGAACTATAAATGTACTAAAAATTTATTTCATTTTATTAGACGAATGGATACAGTTGGTATTCTGAAAGATGAAATGAGGGTCGCCGATGCTGTGTAGGAAGATGTATTAAAAGTTTTTTTTTTGGAAATTCGAATTATTATTGGACTAAGAATCACTAAATTTGGTACCATTTGGTATAAGAAATAAGTTTGGGAAGTAGTTGATATACGGAAGTGGGTTTGGTACAAAATTTTGGTACAATTTGGGTTTGGGGATGGATGAAGCTGGAAATTTGAAATGTTTATATTGGGGTCAATGTTAGAGTGTAAGATTGAGAATAGAAAGTGGTTTTGGGAAAAGGTACTTGAAAAGTACGAAAAGTACTCAATATAAAATTTCGTTTTGTGATCACTTTTTGTGAGGAAACACGTGCGAAAAGTACTATATGATATTAAATTTAATATTTGGGGAAGGAATATAGTTGGAAATCCAAAATTTGGAATCAGGATATTTTTTGTTGTGTAAGATTTAGGATTTAAAGATTTTTTGGTAACGCAATGTGAGTTGGGGTTAAAATATGGAGATGATTTTGGAAATATGTAGTAAAAAAGTATGAAAAGTATTGAATTTGGTATTTGGGGAAAAAATGGAGTTAGAAATCTTAATCAGGAATATCGAATATCAACCAAATGTACAAATATCACTTAATTTGGTATCATTTGGAATTATGTGAACGGCAGAAACAGAAACTAGGGATTTTTTTTGTAAATGTGTGCTAAGTGAAAGAACTGTACTAAATGATACTAAATACAGTACCATATAGCTTTGAGTGAAGGGATGGAGCTGGAATATTGAAACATTGGTATTTAAGTTTTTTTATTGGTTTACAGGGTTAAAAAAGAGGTGCTTTTGGAAATGCATACTAAAACAAGTGAGCAAAGGCTATAGTCGAACGGCCCGACCATGTGATACCCTACAACGCTATAATATGTTCCAAGTCCCATTATGTCCAAATCCATTTTGAAAGATTTCGTCAAAAAGCTCTCCCAGATGTTACCCTAAGGCTTTTGACCCGGGGAATTTGGCCAATATTTACGCACTCCGTCGTTTTGTTAGGTATTCAAAAAAATTCACACGAAAGTTGTGGTCCATTTTACAGCTAAATATAATCCAAAGGTCATCCAAAATGCTAGACTTCTTCCCTGTTCTTAACTATCTTTTGATGCAAAATTAGAGCGACTACAAAGATTAAAAAAAAAAAAATAATATTTTTAGTCCATTTGAACCCCTTAATGTACAGGGTGAGATGAAAAAACTGCAACAAAGTCAAACGCCATAATTTTAGTACCAACCTTGCTTTCCAAAATACCCCAGACAGTCCAACGGATTGGTATCCTGAGACTTTGGTGGCCATTGTGCGTGGAAATGAAGCGAGGAAACTCATTTTGTAACCATTCTTGGGTGGCGCGTGCTGAGTGGGATGGAGCTAAGTCCTGTTGGAATGTCCAAGGTCTGCGGCCAAAATGTTTGCATGCCCAAGGCCTTAATACACCCTCCAGAATATTTTCCCAATAATATTTCGGCATTTGATGCCAGGGTCGATTAATTAATAGAGATAGATAATTAGAGCGAACATCGGCTGTTATGGTGGCCCACACCATCACCATGGCCGGCGCTTGAGTTCTGGTGGCCATCCGAAAGTGCAGATTTTCAGCTGACCTCTTTGGCAAGTAAAAACGATCATTTTGTTTGTTTACAAACTGCTGGAGAACGAATGTTTTCTCATCGGAGAAAAGTAAATTTAGCAGTTCTCTCTTTAGCTTTTTTGAGTATATATTCTTTCTCTTGCGGGGTAAGTTCTTGCACTTTTTAGAAATATAATGGTTTTACCGCGAGCTCATTTTTCAATATTTGCCGAATGGAGTGTTGCGATATGTTCAGCTCACGAACCATTTTTCTGCCATTGCGACGCTGGTTTCGATCAAGTCGTTCCTTTACCATTACCATTTCTGCTGATGTTGCTGTTTTCTTCCATCCACTCCCCTGACGTCAGGCTACGCTACCAGTATCACGGTAACGGGCGATGGTACGAGACACAAAAGATTTATTCACATTTATATGGTGCAGTGCTTTAATGTGGATTTCCAGCCAAATATAAAGAAATCACACGATCACGCTTGAATTCCATCACGAATAGCTTTTTCTGGAAAATTCTCACCAAAATGCTTTTGTACGCTTGTAAACAATATAATGAGCTGTCACTGGAATTATTTTAACATCTGTCGGACGAGTGGCTTGAAAATGACAGTAGTCTGAAGTTGGTTGCACCCTGTATGCTCACCCTTTTAAATATTTATTGGATATTTGTTTAATGAATATTAATATTAAAATTTTATAGCAATATATTACGGGAACCAAAAGCTATCAAAATCGTTTCGAAACACTGTGCCCTGGCGTCATCTTTGCATTCCCTTCAAATAAGTCATCTATTGAATTGCTGGTATCCGGTTTTTTTGATTTGTTTGTTTATTTCTACACATTTCTATTGGGGTTTTTGAGTTTTCTTTCCCCCCATTCAATAGCATCGTTGTCACCATTATCGCTATCATTGGCAGCTACAGTTTTGTGTCATTTTTTAAGTTCGATTTTTCTATTTTTTTTCTTTTTTTGATGTCTGTTCGCTTTGCTGTCACCAGCTGTTATCAAATGCTTTCAATCGTTGCCATCCCCAACAAGAAACGCCAACAACAGCAGCCAGCAACAACTTCCCATAATTTTCCGACAAACAGCTGACCCAGCGCCCTCCTCTTTGATTGATGCACGTACCTCACATACCATACATCATGGGAAACTATTGACATACACACACATTGCCATTCATGCAAATATTTCTATACAAAGTTTGACCCGACATCGTTCAACTTGTCTCAATTAATACACAATTGTGGTCCTTCGATCCTGAACTTCTTATACACGACAATATAGTTGACGCCTGGCGATAACGTGTTGATGAGATGAGAGAATCTTGTTGTTGGGTCATCATCATCATCGTACAGATGGTACAGTGACATGGGACCAACACATGTTGTGTCACTTGTTCACACCATTGACCCATTACCTCCCTCCCTCATTCGCTCACTTTTCCTCACCCTACCTCCCTTGTTCATAGTGTGTGGTTTCTCGAATATGTGTGTGAAATGGGGTAAATAATTGATTGCCCCTCCTCGCCTACGCTTTGTCCACTTTTCATTTGGAGTCATGCTCGCATTGTTCGATGCCAGTGCGAGTCGCATCGCATTCGCAATTGTTTAGCCGTGTTAATTAATTAGTTCAATGTGTCACGGTGTGTGTGAGTATTTTATGGCACTTTTATAGTTTCAATTTTGTTCATGTTCTGACATTTATCGACATTGCCAATAGCATTCAGAGGTTAGGTTCATTTGTTTTGCTTTAGAATTTAATAAAATTGTTGCAACTATGCCAGTGGGTGGTGTTTGCACGAAATTGTGACTTGAAAATTGGATTTTATTAGGGTCAGTCGGTTCTCGTGAAAGTTTCGATCTAAGCTAAATGGTAATCTATGTTAATAAAAGAGTAAAGTGATTGACTGACTGACTTAATGATTCATCAACGCCGATATAAAACGGCTAAAGCTAGAATCTTGAAATCTTAAGTGAGGGTTACTCTTGGTCCGAAGGTATCAGATAAGATAAGGCTGGGATTTTGAAACTCGTACTAGAACGGTACGGAAAGTACTAAAATATACTAAATATGGTATACTTTGTATTTGACGGACCTGTAGGACTAGAACTCTTTTTGAAATGAGGGTCACTGATGGAGTAATGAATGTAGGGTCGATGTAAGGAGGTACTTTTAGAAGTGTGTTCTCATGTATACGAAAAGTACTAAACGGTACTAAATTTGGTACAATTCGAATTTGGGGGAATTCTGAAGTTTGAAATGAAAATTGCTGCTTAATGTAGGATTGGGATGTGTAGGTAGTTTTCGAAATTTTCACTTATGTGCACGAAAAGTCCTAAATGGTAATAAATTTGGTAAAATGTCGATTTGGCTGGATGTCGATAGAGGTGGAATGCTGAAACTTGGAAAAAATATTACTATTGCGTGATAGGATTGTTTAGAAGTTTTGAAAATTCGTACTTATGTTTACTAAATGGTACTAAATTTAGTACCATTTAAATTTTGAGAGAACCGGTAGAGTTGAAAGCCTGAAATTTTAATATAAGATTCCTATTAGTTTGTATTATGTAGGCTGTTACGGAAATTTGTACTTATGTGTACTAAATTTGGTACAATTTAGATTTAGGTGAACCGAGAGCGCTGGAATCCTGAAATTTTGAATTAAGATTACTGTTGGAGTGAAGGATTGGGTTTTGTAATTGGAAATTCTTACTTATCTGTACTATATGGTACAATTTGTATTTAGGTAAACCGATGAGAATGGAATGCTGAACTTTGGAATTGGGGTTACTGTGGGATTGTAGGTTTGGGGTATGTAGGAAGCTTTGGAAATTCATACTTGTCTGTACTGTATAGTACGAGTACTAAAATTTGTACATTTTGAACTTAGGCAAACTGATAAGAATGGAATCCGAAAATTTAGAGTTCGGGTTACTGTGGAAGAGTAGGATTGTGGTATATGGTATGCTTTGGAAATTCGCACTTGCGTGTACTAAATAGTACTAAATTTGAAACAGTTAGGATTTGGCTGAATCGATAGGGCAGGAATCCTGATATTGGGAAATACGATTTCTATTGGACTGTATGATGCAGGTTGTTATGGAAATGTGTACTAAATGGTACTAAATTTTGTACAAATTGGAATTGTGGTGAACTGATAGAAACGAAAGATTTGGGTATGTAGGGAACTTTGGAAATTCGTACTAATATGCACTAAATTTTGTACAAATTGGATTTGGTGAACCTAAAGAGCTGATGTCCAAAGATTTGGAGTTTTTTGGTTGTTATGGACATTTGTTCATATGTGCACTAAATTTGGTACAATTTGGTTTTGAATGAACCGAGAGAACTGGAATTCTGAAATTTTGAATTAAGATAAGAGTGCAGAATTGGGGTATGTAGGAAGCCTTGAAAATTCGTACTTATCTGTAACATATGGTACTAAATTTAGCACATTTTGAACTTAGGCAAACCTGAAATTTAAAATTCGGGTTACTGTAGACGTGTAGGATTGTTATATGTGGGAAGCTTTGGAAATTCGTAGTTAGTACTAAATAGTACTAAATTTAAATCAATTAGGTTTTGGATGAATGCGCTTTCTATTGGATTATATGACGCAGGTTGTTATGGATACGTGTACTTGTGTGTGTGTGGTAAACTGATAGAGCTATAAAACTGTAATTTGGAATTGGGATTACTGTGGGAGTGAAGGATTGGTGTATGTACTAAATTGTACTGAATTTGGTATAATTTGAATTAGGGTAAACGGAAAATTGGAATTATGATTACTGTTGGCGTATAAGCTATTTTGAAGGAACTTCTGGAAATTCGTATTTATATGTACTAAATTTGGTACAAATTGTATTTGGCTGTACCTATTGAGTTGGGGTCCTAAAATTTGGATTTTTTTTTTTTGGAAATAAGTACTACAAGAGTGCAAAAGGTAATAAATGGTAAAAAATTAGTATTGATTGTCCGGATAGAATAGGATCAGAATTTTGGTGTTGGGGTCAAAATTGGTGTGTAGTGTTGAGATATGGAGGTGATTATGGAAATACTTACCATAGCTGTACGAAAAGTAGTAAATCATACTAAATTTGGATTGGCTTGAAGGGAAATTTCATATTAAATTCTGACATTTCAAAGTGCTGAATGGCACTATATTTGGTATTAGGTGGAAATTCGAAATTGGATATTGATATCTGGGATTGAGTTGTGGAGGTGGTTTTGAAAATGTATACCATAATAGGACGGAATAATACTAAAATCATAAAATTAGATATGGATGTCAATGTTGGTGTCTATGATTGGGAGAAGGAGCTGGTTTTGGATATGCGTACTAAAATTGTACTAAATTTTGTAATGGGTTAAATTAAAGAGCGGAAATCCTAAAATTTGATATGGAGGTCTTTGTTGGTTTCTGGTGCTCAGAACAGGTAGTGTTTTTGCAATAATTGTTCGAAAAGTACTAAATGGTGCCGTTGGCGTCTAAAATGTAGAGATGTAGATTATTTGGATATTCGTACTAAATGTTACTAAATTTGGTATTGGGTAAAGGAATAGAGCTATAATTCTGAAATTTGAGATCAGGTAGTGTTTTTGCAAATGCGTACTATAATTGTTCGAAAAGTACTAAATGGTGCCGTTGGCGTCTAAGATGCAGAGATGTAGATTATTTGGATATTCGTACTAAATGTTACTAAATTTGGTATTGGGTAAAGGAATAGAGCTATAATTCTGAAATTTGACTGTTATTTACTAGGGTTTACACATATGTAAGTAAGGCCATGGAATTGAAAAATTTGATACTCTGGATCATATTTTAGATATAAAATCCAAACACTTCATTCATCTTTCGCTTTATTTAAGTCATTTTAAAAGTGAGAAAAAATGTCAAAATGAATGAAAACAACTTGTCGCATTAGTATTTCTGTAGTTTATTGTACCATAATACGATGTATGAAGTTTTGATAAAAAATATTGCCGTAACACGAACTGTTGGAACGACTATAAAATTTGTAGGTGGACTCTTCACTAACAAAGCAGCGGGCACTTGCTAGTAACAGATAAAAAACTGAAAATGGAGATACACGTTTATTTTAGACATGATTAGTTACTAAAACGATGCAAATTGGTTTGGGGATTTCAGGAGGGGTATTTACATGAAATATAATTTTTCGTCACTGGTCGATCCCAACCTTTTCAGGGTACATCAATAATGTGATAGTTCATCTCTAACATTCAATCATAGCATAAATTTCTTGCGATTTTGTCATAGTATTTCAAAGATCTTTTTGACCAAAACTCTGTAATATTTGGACTTATATTTTAATACCCTCCACCATACATAGTATGGAGGGTATATTAAGTTCGTCATTCCGTTTGTAACTCATCGAAATAATCATTTTAGACTCAACAAAGTATATATATTCTTGATCAGCGTAAAATTCTAAGACGATTTAGTCATGCCCGTCCGTCTGCTATAATCACGCTACAGTCTAAACGAATTAAGATAGGAAGCTAAAATTTTGCCTTTGTCTGCAGGCAGGTCAAGTTCGAAGATGGGCTATATCGGTCCACGATATCGTATAGCCTCCATATAACGGTATCCCCCGATATTCGGTATTTTGATGAGTTTAGCCACATTTTCTAATTGAATGGTCTTAAAATCCACAGAAGAAGTTCCTTATGAGTACCATATCCCTTGAAAGAGAATTATCTATATAGGTCCACGATATCGTATAGCCCCCATATAACGGTACCCCCCGATATTCGGTATTTTGATGATTTTACCCACATTTTTTAACGGAATTGTCTGATAATCTACACAAGGAGTACCTTGTGGGTACTTTATACCTCGGAAGAGAATTATCTACATAGGTCCACGATATCGTATAGCCCCCATATAACGGTGCCCCCCCGATATTCGGTATATTGATGATTTCAGCCACATTTTTCAGTGAAATTGTCTGAAATTGTACACAAGAAGTTCTTTGTGAGCAATTTATCCCCTGACAGAGAAGTCTCTATATAGGTTAACGATATCGCATATCCCCCATACAACGGTACCCTCCGATATTCGGTATTTTGATGATTTTACCCACATTTTTCAACGGAATTGTCTGATAATCCACACAAGGAGTTCCTTGTGGGTACTTTATCCCTTGAAAGAGAATTGTCTATATAGGTCCACGATATCGTATAGCCCCCATATAACGGTACCCCCCGATATTCGGTATTTTGATGATTTTAGCCACACTTTTCAACGGAATTGTTTGATAATCCACACAAGGAGTACCTTGTGGGTACTTTATACCTCGGAAGAGAATTATCTATATAGGTCCAAGATATCGTATAGCCCCCATATAACGGTACCCCCCCCCCCCGATATTCGGTATTTTGATGATTTTACCCACACTTTTCAACGGAATTGTCTAAAAATCCATACAAGGAGTACCTTGTGGGTACTTTATACCTCGGAAGAGAATTATCTATATAGGTCCACGATATCGTATAGCCCCCATATAACGGTACCCCCCGATATTCGGTATATTGATGATTTCAGCCACATTTTTCAGTGAAATTGTCTGATAATCCACACAAGGAGTTCCTTGTGGGTACTTTAACCCTTGAAAGAGAATTGTCTATATAGGTCAACGATATCGTATAGCCCCCATATAACGATACCCCCGATATTCGATATTTTGATGATTTTACCCACAATTTTCAACGGAATTGTCTGAAAATCCACACAAGGAGTTCTTTGTGAGCACTTTAACCCCTGAAAGGTAATTGTCTATATAGGTTCCCATATATCGGCACCTTCCAATATTCGATATTTTAAAGATTTTAACAGAATTTTTAATGGATTTTATTTTTTAAAAATTTTCTAATTCGTTCCAAATGGTGGAGGGTATTCAAAGTTCGGCCCGGCCTAACTTACTGCTTTTTTACTTGTTAAAACTGTTTTTTTAGAAATAAATTTATGAGGACAAAGATTTCTATTTTCATGGGCACGAAATTGATTGAAATTAAATGTATTTATTATGAAGTGCGCCTAAAAGTATGTTATAAACAAAGGCTTATAAATTTAAGTGTCGATGATTTTTTAGAAAAATAGAATATTGTGACTTGTTTTCTAATCATCTCTCCTTCCCTCTCCCTCATATTGCAACATAATTGTATGTGCTTTTTTCATTTCATTTGCTTTTATAACAATGAATAATGCCTAATTTTTTTGTCTTCATTGTCTTGTGTGAACTATATAAAAAAAATGCAAAATTTGTTTTCTCCAATGTAAACTCATATAACAAAAATTCGTTATGTGTTTCTATTCTTTTCCATTCTGTATTTTGTATTTTTTTTTTAATTTGTAAAAAATTGACTGATTTCGAAAAAAAACCTATACATATATCACAGTCAGGAGCACAAAGTGCGGAACCAATTGTTGTAAGTAAATGTCCTTCACAAAAACCAAAAACAAAAAAAAACACCAAAATATATTATTGACACGAAAGGAAAACCAAGCAAACAATTCAGCATAAAAAAAATTGAAACAAAACACATTGTGAAAGGAAAAAAGGAAACGTGTAATAAACTTATTGAAAATCCTAAAACAAATGGCATAAAACTCTATGTCGATTTAGCGACGTCCGTCCGTCCGTGGAAAGCACTCTAGCTTCCGAAAGAATTTTACTCAAATGTTTTTTGGTCTAGAAAATGGGCTAGGTCCACGTTTATAGCCCCCATATAATGGTACCTTCATATTTTCGGTATTTTGGTGATTTTATCAACATTATTGACCGGAAATGTTTCAAATTTGGTATTTAAAGTTCCTTAGGGGTACTATACAGGGTGGGATGAAAAAACCGCAACCAACTTCAGACTGATGTCATTTCTAAGCCATTTGTCCAGTGAGAGATTGTTTACAAGCGTACAAAAGCATTTGTGAGAGTTTTCCAGAAAAAAAGTTATTCGTGATTGAATTCAAGCGTGATAGTGTGATTTCTTTATATTTGGCTGGAAAATCACAAGTGGCTATCGTTAGAGCACTCCAGAATTTAAATGTGAATAAATCTTTTGTGTCTTGTACGATCGCTCGTTACTGTGATACTGGTAGCGTAGCCCAACGTCAAGGAAGTGGACGGAGGAAAACAACAACATCAGCAGAAATGGTTCGAAAAGTAAAGAAGCGACTTAATCGAAGCCCGCGTAGGACTATCGCAATATTCCATTAGGAAAATATTAAAAAATGAGCTCGGGGTAAAGCCATTGAAATTCCAAAAAGTGCAAGAACATACACCGCAACAGAAAGAAAATAGACTCAACAGAACAAAAGAGTTGCTTCGCTTGACCGAAAGTGGTGAACTGCCAAATTTGGTTTTCTCCGACGAGAAAACATTCGTTATCCAGCAGTTTTGTAAACAAATAAAATAATCGTGCTTAAAGCTGAAAATGTGCACCTTCCGTTGGTCCGTAGGTGTGGGCCGCCATAACAGCCGATGGTCGCTCTCCGCTCGTAATAATCGATCGTGGCATCAGAATAAATGCCGAATATTATCGCGAAAATATTCTGGAGGGTGAATTAAAGCATGCAAACATTTTGGCCGCAGATCTTGGACATTCCAACAGGACTCAGCACCATCGCTTTCAGCACGCGCCAACCAAGAATGGATACAAAATGAGGTTCCTCGCTTCATTTTCAGCGCACAATGGCCACCAAAATCTCCGGATACCAATCCGTTGGACTATTGTGTCTGCAGTATTTTGGAAAGCAAAGTTTGCACTAAAAAATACCAAAGTTTCGATCACCTCAAGCAAGCGCTTCGCCGGGAATGGGACAAAATACCGCAGAGCAACATTCGGGCAGCGTGTGACGGTTTCATTGGCCGTTTGAAGGCCATAATTCGTTCCAGAGGTGTCCAATTCGAAAAAAAAATTATTCTAAAATTTGATGCTATTTCCGATATTTTTTTAAATTAAAAAACATGTAAAACTCATGGCGTTTGACTTTGTTGCAGTTTTTTTTATCTCACCCTGTAGTCTATGACAAAAAATTGTCTATAAAATAGCCCCCATATGACGGTACCTGCCTATATGCGGTATGTTGATGGTTCTGCGACATTATTGACCGGAATTGGGTCAAATTTCGCATTTAAATACTATAATGGCTATGACAAAAATTGCCTATGTACATCTACGTTTTCGTATGGACTCCAATAGAATGGAAAATCTGTATTTTCTGCATTCTTAAGATTTTAACAATATTGTTAACGAATTTTTTTTAGGTTAATTGAGGGTATTCAAATTTCGGCCCGGCCGAAATTACTGCTTTTTTAGTTGTTACTTCTAAGGACTAAAAATGTAGTTATTTACGTTATTCAATTGATAATCAAATGTGTTTTTAAACAAAAAGTTTTCCTTAGATCTGGAAGTTCGACATATCGGATGACATTATAACCTCGAATGACACTCAAAGTAGTGCCCATACCCTCTTCCGCATTAATCAGTTTAGGTTAGTTTAGATGCTCTTCTGGCTCAGACTTAGATGCAAAACCTCCTCAACTAAATTCCAAAAGCCGTGACTTTGTTCTGCCACCCTTACCATGGTTCGTTGTAAGGACATGTTCCCGTAGCCCTTGTGTTAATCTTTTGAACAAGAACTACAAGAATAGTGTTTATTCCTTACTGAACTTGTCAAGAAGTAAAATTCATCAAACTATAGAATTTTCAATAAGTTTACTACGCACTAATTTTATAAATTTCTCTCATCGGGGAAATTTTATAAAAACAAAAAATAAGCTTCTTTTTGTTGTTAAAAACATACACTTAAAACATTTGTGTCGTACTTTGTCTGTGTAGCAATAGTCAAATACTTTCTTAATTTTTTCTCTCTTTACAATATACCGCTATTCTTTCTTATTCGAAATCCTTTCGCCTAAAAATCAACCGAATGATTTTCAACAATTTTAAATTCTATTTTAGGGTGCCACCATAAAAACCGATGAAGAATCGGGTAAAATTATAATAGCTCGCATTATGCATGGCGGTGCTGCCGATCGTTCGGGACTGATACATGTCGGCGATGAGGTCATCGAAGTCAATGGCATTAATGTGGAGGGTAAAACGCCAGGCGACGTTTTAAGTATATTGGTAAGTTGCTGTTGAAAATATTCATATGTTTAAATTATTTAATAATATAATGTTTTTTAGCAAAACTCTGAAGGCACCATCACATTCAAATTGGTACCCTCCGATGGCCGAGGGGCCCAACGCGAATCGAAGGTACGCGTTCGTGCCCATTTCGATTATAATCCTGAAGTTGATCCCTATATACCTTGTAAAGAAGCTGGTCTGGCATTTCAACGGGGTGATATTCTGCACATTGTATCACAGGTATGTATTACTTCTAAGAAGCCCATTTTTTATGAAAATCTACAGGTACAGATCTCTATAGGTCTCAAATCTCTGTAAGGATCTACGATCTCTGTAAGGGTTTAGAAATATTTATATATAAAAATGCACGAACTCTTTGTAAAGATTCAAAATTACAGGTTGAAATAAAAAACTGCAACAAAGTCAAACGCCATAATTTTTACATTTTCTTTAAAAAAAATTATTGAGTGAAAGCAAAAAATGTCGGAAATAGCATACAATTTTAGAATAACTTTAGATTTGTTCGAACTGGTGACCTTTGGGTGGCGCGTGCTGAAAGCGATGGTGCTAAGTCCTGTTGGAGTGTCCAAGGTCTGCGGTAAAAATGTTTGCGTGCCAAAGGTTTTAATAAACCATCCAGAATATTTTCGCGATAATATTCGGCATTTATTCTGATGCCACGATCGATTAATACGAGCGGAGAGCGACCATCGACTGTTATGGCGGCCCACACCATCACCATGGCCGGCGCTAGAGTTCTGGTGGCCAACCGAAGGTGCACATTTTCAGCTGACCTCTTTGGCAAGTAAACACGATCATTATGTTTGTTTACAAACTGCTCGATAACGAATGTTTTCTCATCGGAAAAAATCAAATTCGGCAGTTCACCACTTTCGGCCAAGCGAAGCAACTTTTTAGCTCTTTTGAGTCTATTGTCTTCTCAAAAACTGCTGAACAGGTTTCCAAATATACTACAGCATATCATAACATATACTATATACTTTTTTGAAATTCTACTTGGAACGGGAGATATGGCCTCAGAATCGGAATGTTGCAACAAAAATGCAGTTTTTGCATGCACATATCCGATGATCGATTACAGATCTAGTCTTCAAATTTGGAGTGCGTAACAGAATTTGAAAAATAGTTTTGTCAAATTATTTTGAAATCGGTTCAGATTTCGATATAGCTCCCATATATATTTTCGGCCGATTTCCGATTTTAATAAAATTCGGCATGAGCGATGAAATTTGGTACAAAAATAAATTTGTAAAATTATATTTAAATCGGTTCAGATCTGGATATAGCTCTCTTACATATGATTCTGCCGATTGTATGTATTTTATGTACCAAACATGATATGTATGTCCGATTCCAATAAAATTTAGAATATGTGGCGGAGTTTGGTAAAAAATTAACTTTGCAAATTATATTGAAATCGGTTAAGTTTAGGATGTAACTCCCATATATATTTTCGACCGATTTCATGTATGTATGTCTGATTCCAATGAAATTTGGAATAAGTGACGAAATTTAGTACAAAAAAAAGCCAAATAATATTGAAATCCGTTCAAGTTGGGATATAGCTCCCATATAAATTTTCGGCCGATTTCACATATCGGATGCACCAAACACGATATATATGTCCGATTCTAATGAAATTCGGAATGAGTGACGGAATTTGGTACAAAAATAAATTTCTAAAATTGTATTCAAATCGGTTCAGATTTGGATATAACTCCCATAAATATTTTCGACCGACTTAACATATTTAATGCATTAAACGCGATAAGGATGTCCGATTCCAATGTCATTTGGAATGTGTAAAGGAATATTTTTGCCGATTTCATTTCAATAAAATTCAGAATTTGATAGCAAATTCGCAAAAAATCCTTGATTAGAAAACGTAGTATAGGCTTCAAAATATTACTACAAAAACCGAAAAATATCCCCAAAAAACCGCGACTGCAAAGCAAAATATTTTGAAGCTGAAGTTTACTTCAGCTTTAGAAAATCCAGCAGGCGGGCATAAGTCTGTTGTATAGTATACAGTATATTCAGCTTGGGCAGACATATTGCATTTGGTGCAGCCTGGTACGTGTAAGGCTGTTTGAATCACATAACTCTCTTTGTTCATATGTAAATATAAAAAAATTCAGGATTATAAAATATACATACAGGCCACCACAATAAAGGTCTCGGGAGGCTTCAAAGTATTAAAAAATCCAATTCGCAAAACCTTTAAAATAAGGCTGCCTAAAGATTTCTAGCTCGTGTATGAAAAAAAAAATATTTTTTAATATTTTTAAATTAAAATTTTAAATTATTTTTAATTGTTGGGGGTTTTTCCTCATTTTTCAGGATGACTCATACTGGTGGCAAGCTCGTCGCGAATCTGAACGTACAGCTCGTGCCGGTCTAATTCCCAGTCGTGCCTTGCAAGAAAGACGTATTATACACGAACGGACGCAACGTGAGATTGTCGAGGGGGAATCAAAAAGTGAGTGCAAGTTGCAAAATAATTCTACAGATGGTTTAAGATGGCCTTTCTCAGACATAAGAAATCCTGAAATTCCTGCTAAACATCTAAAAAATTATATTCTAAACATATCTAATCATCATCGCATTGATCATATTAACCATTCTATTTATTTCTCTAATGCATGTTTTTTATTGTCCGCTTCCTAACAAACAATCTGAAACCTACTCTGATACTTCTGCCTCAAAATATCAAAACCTCTGACAAAACAAACTCTAAAATCCTAACAACTGATCCTAACATCATCGCTCCATAAACTTCATCACTGCATCACAAATTCGAAAAACAAAAAAAAAAAAACAATCAGAGGGTTCATGTACCTCCATATGTTCCACACCGCCTGGTTCACCTAGATTACGTTCTAGCAGTAGTACCTCATCATGTCGCCAACCGAAAACTAAAAAAATCATGTACGATTTAACAGAGAACGACGACTTTGATCGGGAGCTAATTGCCACCTATGAAGAAGTAGCCAAACTGTATCCACGTCCAGGCATTTATAGACCGGTGGTGTTGATTGGAGCGCCCGGTGTCGGACGTAATGAGCTGAGGAGACGTTTGATAGCGCGTGACCCTGAAAAATATCGTAGTCCAGTGCCATGTAAGTGGAGTGTGGAATCAAATGTTTTGAAAGTAGTCTTATAAAATCACTTCTTTTTCTTGCAGATACCACACGTCCCATGCGCACCGGTGAAGTTGCCGGCCGGGAATATATTTTTGTTAGCCGAGAAAAAATGGAGGCCGACATTGAGGCTGGTAAATTCATTGAACACGGTGAATACAAAGGCCATTTGTATGGCACCTCGGCGGAAAGTGTCAAATCAATTGTCAATGCTGGCTGTGTCTGCCTGCTCAGTCCCCACTATCAGGCCATAAAGGCATTGAGAACGGTACAATTGAAACCCTTCCTTATACACATCAAACCACCGGAATTCGATGAGCTGAAGAAGACACGTACAGATTCGAGAGCCAAATCCACATTCGATGAATCGAATGCAAGAGGTTTTACGGTTAGTATTGGGAAAATTTGCTGGTTATACTGACTTGAAATTGAATTTTGAAAAATTCTAAGGTTTGCCTGAAGCACCAAAATAATAAAAACAAGTTAAAAAGCAGTAGGTTTGACCTGGCCGAACTTGGAATACCCTCTACCATTTGGAACGAATTTGGAAATCTTCAAAAAACAAAGAAAATAGAATCCGTTAAAAATTCTTCTTCTTCTGTTAGAATCTTAAAAATACCGAATGAAGGGAGTAACCGACCATTATTTTGGGGTCTATACAAAGACGTGGACCTGCATACGCAATTTTTGTCACAGCCTATAGTACCCATTACGAACTTCAAATACGAAATTTTAAACAATTCCCTAAATCATCAAAATATCGAGGTACCGTTATATGGGGGCTATACGAAGACTTGGACTTGCTTAGACCATTTTGAAACGATTCCAGTGAACAATGTCGCTAAAAATATAGGAAGGTACAGTTATACCAAAAGTCCTGCAGACGAAACACACATTTGAGTAAAATTTCATCAACCTACATCAACTCGTTTGGAAGCTAGAGTTATTTCCACAAACGGGCGGTCATCGTTAAATCGACATAGAATTTTATGCTGATCAAAAATATATATATACTTTGTGGGATCTGCTACGTATATTTCGAGGTGTTTTACATAGTCAAATAAAAATGCGAAAGTTCAAAGTATTCTCAAAAATCCAGGTCAATACGAAGTTTCAAAGTACATTCAAATATCTAAGTGTAAAATTGGTTTTTATACACTCCACCATTCTATTAACTTTGTCATTCCGTTTGTAACTCCTCGAAATATTCATAATATACCCTACAAAGTATATATATTCTGAATCAGCGTAAAACTCTAACACGATCTAGCGATGTCCGTCTGTCTGTTTTAATCACGCTATCTTTCGAACGAATTGAGATAGAAGGCTAAAATTTTGCATACATGCATAATTTACCAGGTTAAGTTTGTAAATGAGTCATGTTGGTCTACGTTTTCGTATAGGCCTCATATAACGGTACCTCCCGATATTCGGTATTTTCATCATTTTAGCGACAGTATTTCCCGGAATCAATTCAAATTTCGTATTTGAAATTCGTAATGGGTACTACAGCATATGACAAACATTTTTGTATACAGGTTCACGTCTTCGTGTAGCCCCCATATAACGGTACCTCCCGATATTCGGTATTTTCATGATTTTAGCGACAGTATTTCCCGGAATCATCTCAAATTTCGTATTTGAAGTTCGTAATGGGTGCTACAGCCTATGACAAAAAATGTTGTATGCAGGTTCACGTCTTCGTATAGCCCCTATATAACGGTACCTCCCGATACTCGGTATTTTTATGATTTGTGCGACATTATTCTCCGGAATTGTTTCAAATTTGGTATTTGAAGTTCATAATGGGTACTACAGCCTTTGGCCACAAAAATTCTTAAGCAGGGCCACGTCTTCGTAAAGTCTCCATATAACAGTTTTCATTTAAGTGGGAGTTTGCGGAAGTTTTTGAAAATGTTAAAGTACCTTCTAAATGGTGGAGGCTATTAAAAGTTCGGCAAGGCCGAACTTAGGTCGAAAATTGAAAAACTTTAAAATATTTAAAAGAAATTACAGTGAAGTTAATGAAAAAATTAAAGAAAATACATGAGTTCCACACTTTTTCACAATAAAATTAAGTCTATATCCAAAACTCAAATCCTTTTCTTATCTGTCTTTTAGGATGAAGAATTCACTGACATGATCAAATCATCGGTTCGCATTGACTTCCTCTATGGCCACTTTTTCGATGAAGAAATTCTGAATGCCGATTTGGTGACAGCATTCGAAAAACTTGTAAATATTGTGCAACGAGTTGAAACGGAACCGCTGTGGGCCCCATCATCGTGGGTGCAATAAGATCTGTAGAATGAATGACAGGAATGATAGACGACATTGGAATGGGTTGTGGAGCAGGCAGCTATACAAAAGAAAACAACACTCACACACAAAAACAAAAGGTTAAACAGCTCAAATGGAATAGCTGGGAATACCGGGAAACACAACAACAACAAAAGACACTGCTACAAAACCAAAACAAAAAAATGCCAAAAGAACACACAAAATTACTAAAAATTGTTGAAACCAAAAAAAAACTACATTAGAAATGTATCATCCAAAAGAAATTCAATTCGAAGAATAAAAACCAAAACTCAAATAACAACAACACCAAAAAAAAAAATTTAGATTCATGTCTTTAGAGAAAAAAAATTGTTTTAATTTTTAAGCTTATACAATTTAAAAAAATATTTATTTAAACCAAAAAAGAAAACACCATAATATTTTTTCAGCTGACATTGTAAAATTGCTATAATCCGCCAAAAACAAGAATAAAACATCTGAAATGATAACACAAATCCATTTAAAGGTTACCCTTATAATCCAGTTGTTGACCAAAAAGTGCGGATCATTTTGAGGTGCGAGTAGATTTCTTTAAACAAAAAAAAACTGAAAATTAAACACAACTTTAAGAGAATTTATGTTTTTTATATTCAATGTCAAAAATAAGATATGTTTTCTCCTTCCACATTTGAAGTACATTTTTAAAATGTAAATAAAACCAAAAAAATAAGTCAGTTTTGTTATACCTTTACTTTATACCTTAAGGATAAAGTTCACATTATCGGGGTTTCATTATTACATCTTTCTATTTCTATTATATTAATATGGCAACATAAGTTCAGTAAACTTTACGTTAAAAGATAATAGGAAGTTGGTCGGAACTTTTTGCTTATCGGATAGTTCATATTTAAATAAAATTTGTAAGAACGAACAAGTTAAAAAGCAGTAAGTTCGGCCGAGCCGAACTTTGAATACCCTCCACTATTTGGAACGAATTTTAAAATTTTTAATTTTTTTTTAAATTTTGTTTAAATTTTAAAAATACTGAATATAGTCATTTTGTTGGAGTCTATATGACGTGGACCTACATAGGCATTGTTTGTCATAAGCCATTACAATATTAAAATTCGACAACTTGAAATAAACGTTGAATGATGTAGATAAAATCATCAAAATATCGTATATAGGGAGGTACCGTTACATCGGAGCTGTGCGAAGACCTGGACCAGCATAGACAATTTTCTGTCATAGGCTGTAGCATCCATTACGAAGTTCAAATACGACATCTCAAACAATTACGACATTTCAAACAATCTCGTCAAAATACCGATTATAGGGAGGTATTGATATATGGGACCTATACGAAGACCTGGACCTGCATAGACAACTTGCTGTCACAGACTATATGTAGATCCCATTACTAATTCTAAATATGTAATTTGAAACAATTCCGGTGAACAATGTCGCTAAAATCATCAAAATACCGAATATTGGGAGGTACCGTTATATGGGGGCTATACGAAGACGTGAACCTGCACAGTAAATTTTCTGTCTTAGGCTATACTATCCCTTTGGAATTTCAAATATCAAATTTGAAATAATTCCGGTGAATAATGTCGCTGAAATCATTAAAATACCGAATATCGGGAGGTACCGCTATATGGGGCTATACAAAAACGTGGACCTGCACAGACAATTTTCTGTCATAGGCTGAAGTATCCATTACGAACTTCAAATACCAAAATTTGAAACAATTCCGGTGACTAATGTCGCTAAATCATTAAAATACCGAATATCGGGAGGTATCTGCCTACTGGAAAAATAAACCTGTGTGCAAAATTTTAGCCTTCTATCTCAATTCGTTCGAAAGATAGCGTGATTACAACAGACAGACAGACGGACATCGCTAAATCGACTTAGAATTTTACGCTGATCAAGAATATATATACTTTTTTGGGTCTGACATGAGTATTTCGAGGAGTTACAAACGGAATGACAAAGTTAATATACCCTCCATAGTACGATGGAGGGTATAAAAAGGATTTATTTGTCCGACAACATCACTTTGTTATCTATCGGAAATATGTAATAACCAGCCATAGATAATGAATACAGCCAATCAATTTTATGCACTTCAAGATAAAGTTCTATGGTAAAAATTCATATGGGTTTTAAAGTGTTTGGTGAATTATTTCAATTATTTTTAATTAATGATCTATTGGAGATATAAAGTATAAACGAGATTATTTTTACGCCTATAACGACTTTGTGGGTCGGTTTCTATTGAACTGATGCAGCAAATGCTGGCGCCCAATTAAAATAGTCACTGCAGGAAATAATTTTGCCATTGCACTTCTTTTCCGAACGAGTCATTTTGTCGATAATTTTAAAGTGTCTTCTTCATATTTTCATTTTCTGATAACTGGCAAAAAAATTTAACGTTTCATATATCACTTTAGGAGTTACATATATGTATGTCCAAAAGCTTGAATTCTGTAAATAATAAAGTATCCGCTAAGGCCAAAATGTCTCGTCAGCGAAGGGGTTAAAGTCAGCATTCCAATTCAATTCCATACCAAAACTGGTTTATATATCCAATACCCCAACGGATAATTCAAAAAAAAGATACAAAAGCAATCTAATGTTTTTAACATATGTTGGCTGTTTGGTTAAGAATTCAAATAAAATTGTATTTTATAATACACAAAAATATGTTCAGGGTATGGGCCCACTAATCCTGTGTCGATTGGATTCAATTGTGGGATCAGGAATTTTTTTTCTGTTTTTTATTCAAAATAAATATTTTGCAATCATCTCCAAAAGCAATAGATTTCTATTCGGACCATAACCCCACTTCTATGCAAAATTTCGTGAGGATCGGGCCATAATTGCGACCTGTAAAGTGATTACAAATTAACATAGACAGACGTACAGACGGACGGACATGCATAGCGCTACATCGAGTTAGCTTAGATAGGAAGATCCATACATACTTTCTTATGGGTGAAACCAATATTTCGAGGTGTTACATAATTGTTGGTCCTATCAAACTTATAATCAGTTGGTCCAATCAAACTTGATCAGAGTAAAATTTAGACGCTTTGGCCCTGTCCGTCCGTCTGTTTTAATCACGCTACAGTCAAAACTAATTGAGATAGGAAGCTAAAATATTGCACACATCATTCTTTTTTATGCAAGCAGGTCAAGTTCGAAGATGGCCCATATCGGTTCACAATATCATATAGCCCCCATATAACGGTATTTTGATGATTTTAGCGACATTATTCACCGGAATTGTTTCAATTTTCGTATTTGAAGTTGTGTACTGCAGTCTATGACAGAAAATTGTCTAAGCAGGTCCCGGTCTTCGTATAGCCCTCATATATCGGTACATAACTATATTCGGTATTTCGACGATTTTAGGTACAATATTTAGAGGATTTTTTCAAACTTCGTATTTGAAGTTCCTAATGGCTACTACAGCCTGTGACGGAAAATGAAATTGTCTATGCATGTACAATTCTTCGTATTATTTTCAAATTTCGCATTTGAAGATTGTAATGGCCAATGACAAAATTTGCCTATGCTAGTCCACGTTTTCATATAGACCCCATTATGACGGCGACTTCCTATATTTGGTATTTTTAAGATTTTATTTTTGTTTTAACATTTCCAAATTCGTTCCAAAAGGTGGAGCGTATTCAAAGATCTGCCCGTCTGAAATTACTGTTTTTTACTTGTTTCTTGGTAAATTTGGTCGTGTAAACAAAAGTTGTATGCTTGCCAACTTCGGATTGGCTGATATCTTGATTCTGGAGCATTATCAAATTTTGACGTCTTCCTTCGCGTAGTTACTAGCAGTAGTTTTCTTTAATGGTCCTTGTTTTGGGTCATGACCTTTATAAGTTTGACCAATAAGCCGACACAATAGTGCAAAAACTGCTAAGTCTTTTTTCAAAACCAGTCTTTTTTTCCAACCTTACATAGAGGTCAGTTTCCACATAGTGTAAGAGTCATATGTAAAGTGATTCTTTAACATTTTACAATTAACATTTTTGTAGCAGACTATATAATGTCATACTCTTCATCTAGGACAATGAAAATAATATTCATCGAAAAAGCGTGTGCATTTTTACGAAACTCTGTGGTAAAAAATCATTTCGTTTTCAAAACTTTGGATTCCTTTCAACTTTCAGTAAGTTATATTCTTTTTTAAAAAGGAAAGGTGTGAAAAGTGTAGGTTGTGTAAGAAAATTGAAATACTGCAGAAACCTGCAAGTAAATAATCAGTTGATTTGTCAAAACAATATAATTTGGGCGCCATAAAAAAAAAAATAAATAAATATTTAACAATTTACAATTTTTTCGGTAGCCAGACAGACCTAATATTTGCTACAAAATCCAAAATGTGAATTTATTCGTCGAATTTGCAAACAAACGGAAAAAATCAGGCAGATATGAGATCGAAGAGGGCTAAAGCTACTATTACCCCTTTCGACCTCGTACTTTTGCATCTACCAATCGTGAAAAGTTTAATTTGATTTCTCTTTTTCCCTTTCCCTTCCTGCTATAAAAAGTCACACTGGGACCTCCTTAAAAAGTTTTCGAGTTTTTTTTTTCATGGAGGGATATATACACCTAATGATCGGTCAATGACTCTTCTCTGGAGTTTTTGAGTTTAGAGTTCAAAATATGTAATTTATATTTCATAATGTGCACTAAAGAACATTTTTTGATTCGGCATCTTTAAGTAACAACTGGAATATATATATAGAGAGGTAATAACAAATATCTTTGTTAACAAATTATTGAAACAAATTACTAAATTCTGTCCTCATTTTAAAAGAAAATAAAAATAATAAGACCTATAACTACAAATAAATTCAACTACAAGTAAATAAATTAAATACAAAATAGTTCCACATTAAGAAAAGAATAATGTATGTACCGAAAAACAAAATTTAATCATGGCCTCCTACACTTGTTAATCTTAAACAAATCCAATTGAAAGCTTCAATGATTTTAAAATCAATAAAAACACTATTAAATTGATAATTGCTATATAACAAAAAAATATATGAATAATGTCAATGAATGCCACCCCATAAATAATTGTATAAAACACAGGAATCCAATGCAATAATCAATTTCAATAAAAAAAAACAACTAAAATAAGCTAAAACCATTTTTAAAATTTGTTAAAAAAAAGATACAGAGCTGAATATAATAAAAAAAAACAATAATGAAATTTCTCTATTTTATTACTTATTGAACAACAAACAAATACAAAAACAACAAAAAATAACAACAAATGTCCATTATTAAACAATAAACAAATTGTCTATACAACAACAACAGCATTATACTATACTATTTATGTAAATGTATTTAAATTGTAAACGAAAAGAAACAAACTTAAGAATTTATTAAAATGTTTAATGTTGAAACCAAGAAAACAAAAATTAAATAAAAAATATATATGAACCATAAAAAAATGGATATAAAATATTTTTTTATTTGTTTTAATGAAATTTTCGGGTATGATAATGTCATCGGCTGTGAATTTCTCCTTTGTATATCCACCTTAAGTTATATTTGTATTTGTTTTGTTATTATTATTATTATTATTATTATTATTATTATTATTATTATTATTATTATTATTATTATTATTATTATTATTATTATTATTATTATTATTATTATTATTATTATTATTATTATTATTATTAGTATTATTATTATTATTATTGTTGTTGTTATTATTATTATTATTATTATTATTATTATTATTATTATTATTATTATTATTATTATTATTATTATTATTATTATTATTATTATTATTATTATTATTATTAGTATTATTATTATTATTATTGTTGTTGTTATTATAATTATTATTGTTGTTGTTATTATTATTATTATTATTATTATTATTATTATTATTATTATTATTATTATTATTATTATTATTATTATTATTATTATTATCATTACTATTACAGCATCACCATTCGTACGCAGAGACCCATAATATAAACTATATTATATGACGTTTTCGACGCAGCTGAGCCATGCAGCCGAGAAGGCTACAACTATCACGATGCGGCTAAGCAGATTGATGGCAAACGTCGGAGGGCCCCTACCCTACAAGAGGAGGTTACTAATGGTGGCATGTAACAGCATCCTACCGCACGGATGTGAAATCTGGGCCCCGAGCATGCTCAATAAGCAGAGGGTACAGGAACTGCTGAAAGTACAGAAAACAGCGGCACTGAGAGTGGCATCTGCATACCGCACAGTCTCAGGACTAGCGATACAAGTTATAGCAGGTTTGGTACCTATCGCAGAAAAGAGGCATCAAATATTTGAGGTAAAGCGTCGCCAACATGAAGTCTCAGAACTTGCACAAATAAAAGAGGATACTTTCGAAAAATGTCAGACACGCTGGCAGCGAGAGACATATGAAAGATGGGCAACGAGGGTCATCCCAGTTATAGCAGCATAGACAAAATGGAACCACGGCAATGTAAACTATTATATAACACAGATGCTCTCCGGACATGGGTATTTTCGTAAATATCTGTTTAAGCACGGAAAGAGTGAGTCCCCTTATTGCTTATATGAAGATGAAGGAATTTAAGACGACGCAGAACATACATTCTTCTCATGCGGTTGGTGGACAAACCTACGCTCAGAAGTGGAATTGCAAGCAGGTGCAATTACAGTGAGGAACATTGTTGCGAAAATGATAGAAGCCGAAGAAAATTGGAATGCAACTTCCAAATTATGCGAGCACTTATTAGAAACAAAAAAGAGAGACTTAGACAACCCTCTAAGACCTCGAAATGAATAGCGAAGCTTAGGCGCAAGCTATAAGAAGAAGGCCTAAGAACCCCGAAAGCCACCTCGAAGTAATACGAAAGTGGTGCCGAGGTTGTAATAACTCCCAGAGGTCGGCAGGTGGGTTTTTTAGTCGGTACCAGCGTTGCATTTGCCGAAAAATGACTCCTGAGCTGAACACATCGCAATATTCCATTCGGCAAATGTTGAGAAATGAGCTCGGGGTAAAGCCATTGAAATTCCAAAAAGGTGCAAGAACTTACACCGCAACGGAAAGAAAATAGACTCAAGAGAGCTAAAGAGTTGCTTTGCTTGGCCGAAAGTGGTGAACTGCCGAATTTGGTTTTCTCCGATGAGAAAACATTCGTTGTAAAGCAGTTTGTAAATGCCGAATGTTATCGCGAAAATATTCTGGAGGGTGTATTAAAGCCTTGGGCACGCAAACATTTTGGCCGCAGACCTCGAACATTCCAACAGGATTCAGCACCATCGCACTCAGCACGCGCCACCCAAGAATTGTGACAAAATGAGGTTCCTCGCTTCATTTCCAGCGGATAATGGCCACCAAAATCTCCGGATACCAATCCGTTGGACTATTGTGTCTGAAGTAATTTGGAAAGGACGGTTGGCACTAAAAATACCAAAGTGTCGACCACCTCAAGCAAGCGCTTCGCCGTTAATGGGCCAAAATACCGTAGAGCAACATTCGGGCAGCGTGTGATGGTTTCATTGTCCGTTTGAAGGCAATAATTCGTGCCAAAGGTGACCAATTCGAACAAATCTAAACTTATTCTAAAATTTGATGCTATTTCCGATATTTTTTGCTTTCATTCAATAAAATTAAAAAAATGTAAAAAATATGGCGTTTGACTTTGTTGCAGTTTTTTATCTCACCCTGTACATAGCATGTAGGGTATATTAAGTTCGTCATTCCGTTTGCAACTCATCGAAATAAGAAATGTAGACATAACAAAATATATATTCTTAATTTTTCCGGATTGTAATTACGCTAGAGTCAAAACGAATAAAGATATGAAGCTAAAATTATGCACTGATCAGTCTTTTGTCTGCAGGCGGGTTAAGTTCGAAGATGGAATATGATAGCCCCATGTAACGGAGTTTTCGGTATTTTGATGATCCATACGAGAAGTTCTTTCTAAGCACTTTACCGCCTGGTAGAGAAATTGTTATATAGGTCCACGATATCGTATAGCCCACATAGAACGGTACGCCCCCCCCCCCCCATATTGGATATTTTGACGATTTTATGGACCTTATTCGTCGGAGTTGTTTCGAATTTCGTATTTAGAATTCGGAATGGAAACTACAGCCTATGACAGCCATGTCTTCGTATAGCCTCCATACAACGGTACCTCCCAATATTCAGTATTTTAATCATTTTAACGATAGTTGTTTCAAATCTCGTATTTAGATTTCGTAATAGGAACTAGAGCCTATGACAGATTTTTTTCAAGTTTCGTATTTGAATGTCGTAATCGCTTATGACAAAAGCATTTTTAAAATTTTAACAGAATTTCTAACGAATTTTATTTATTTATTTATTTTTTTTTTTTTTTTTTGATTTAAAAATTTCCAAATTCTTTCCAAATGGTGAAGAGTGTTCAAAGTTCGCCCCGGCGGAACTTACTGCTTTTTACTTGTCCTTTAAGTATTATTTTCTTGAAAAAAAAAAATACGAAAAACTTAAGTTTTTTTAATAAGTAATTCTGTATGTAATTTAATAAGTAATTTACTAGTTTTAAAAGTAATTCTGCGCTCTTTTATACAAACTTAGCCCACTTTGCAGATCGCATCAAATTGAATATACAATGTTTCGGCAACATTTTCAATTCAATGGCCAATCAATTGATACAAAATGAATCGCGGTATGGGGGCCAATTTGCCTCCACGTTAATTGAACAAAATTGAGTCGCGAGATTGCAAAATATTTAACAAAATTGCTCTCAAACGAATGTCAAAAATTGGTTGAGCTATATTTGATAAGAAACGTACGTACATACGTATAAATCGGGGTAGCTATATATAATGTCAAACAAAGTGAAAAATACAAAACATATCATAAACATATGTATGTGCGTATGTATTAATACATGGAGCAAACATTAACACTTTATGACAGTGATCATGGGGGGTAATCGTGATGTAGATCCAGGAATATGCGCACATACATATCTGGAGGTTTATGTGTGTGTTTTTTTTTTATTAAAAATAAAGCGAACATTCTTCTAACAAATTGATATACGAATTTGTATATCAGTGAGATATCAGAGCAATTGAAACCGAATGATTAGCATTTTTGAGACACTGGGAGAATAATAAAGAGAAAATAGAAAATTAATGTTACTGCATTATATTTGATTTAAATTGAGATTATGGCAAGTGACAGAGATTCTCAACATGGACAAATGCAGGCAGCTGATATCTGGTCCCAAATATCATTTTTGTGAAGTGCATTTAAGAATGAGAGGGACTTAAACACCAAACTGGATGAAACACATATATGGGAGCTATAGCTATTTCTCAACACCTTTTTACAAAATTTAATGAACTTGCTTCTAGGCAAGGTATTATCGTATTTTCCAAAATTCATTCTATTTGGGCTGATATTGACCATTTGGTGCCCAATAAACATGAAATCGAGTAAATATATGTATGGGAGTTATCTAATAATAAATTTCGACAGGGGTATTTCTGATATATCGCATATTACGACTGCGGAGAACAAATATGACAAATCGGACAAATAATATACATGGGAGCTATAGCTATATCTGATCCGATTTCCACCAAATTTGAGATACTTGTTTCTAGAGTCAATAGCAAACGCATGTGCTATATTCCATCCGGTTTGGACTAATATTACAAATCTGGTGCACAATTAAAAGCAAATCGGACGAAGATATATATTGGGGCTATATCTAAATTCTGACCCATAATCTCCAATTTCTATAGGGTTTGTCCAAACAAATGACTTCATCTCGACCGGGTAATAAGTATGACCTGTACTTTTTACAAAAATACATAGGCAAACGGACGGACGGAAAATCAACTCAGAATGTGATTATGTGATGCAGATCATCAAAAGGAACTATGGGTCTATCCCGCCCCTATCTATATAAAGAAATACACAAAGACATTGTACCCTGACCACAGCGTTGGTTGCATGGTTGCGTAGACTTGAAAAAAAAAAACAGTACAAAAGCAGCTAAGTTCAGCCGAGTCGAATTTTTAATACCCTCCGTCATTTCAAAGATCTTGCAAAATATAAAAAGAATCCGTTGGAAAATGCCCATATAATTTTAAAAATTACAAAAATATCAGTTGGTATAGTTATATGGGTCTTTACGAGCGTAGAGCTCAACAGTCAATTATCTGGCAGCGAAGGTGGTGGCGATTACGAACTCCATACACCGAGCTTAAGATAGTTCTGTTGAAAAATGTAGATAAAATTATCAAAATACCGAATATTGGGAGGCACCGCTATATGGGGGCTACGCGATGAGGTCAATTTGTTTGTGCAATTTTCCGAAAATGGTATCCATTGCCAACACCAAATTCCGAATTTGAAATATTTCTTGTAAAAAGTGTGACACAAACCATCGGTACCATAGAGGTACAGATATATATGGCCTATACGACCT